CAATCTAGCATAAGATTTTTAAAATACAATATGGCGTTTCGAATATGTCTGGCGCCATTTTAAAAAATTTATCAGAGTTACTTAAAAGTTGTTAACTGGGATTTATTGATGTCGTAGATTAAAAATGTAATATTGGTTTTGAAAATGGCGGATCCAATATAAGAACAAACAATATAAGAACAAACAATATAAGAACAAACAAAAAATATAAAAAAATAAATAAAGGAGTGTAAAATCCGACCGTATACCTCCACGTGGTAAACTCTGGGGTCGTAAGTAACGTAGTATACTTAACAGCTGACTGCGGGGGAAAATTTTGTATTTATTATCGTTTCAAAAGTTTTTCGTAATCAGCAAAAACCCTCTAGTAACGAGATTCAAATGAATCCGATAAGTTTTAGAAAATTTCATTCACCATATTGGATTCGCTATTATGAATTTTCAAAATCTGAAATCGGATTCGTAATCAGAGACCCTGAAAACCCCCGAGTAAAAAGTTTCAAGTGAATCCGATGAATTTTAAGAAATGTTGTCCGCCATATTGGAACCACCATTTTTAATTTTTAAAATCTGATATCGGATTCGTAATCAGAGACCCCGAAAACCCCTGAGTAAAAAGTTTCAAGTGAATCCGATGAATTTTAGGAAATGTTGTCCGCCATATTGGAACCACCATTTTTAATTTTTAAAATCTGATATCGGATTCGTAATCAGAGACCCCGAAAACCCCTGAGTAAAAAGTTTCAAGTGAATCCGATGAATTTTAGGAAATGTTGTCCGCCATATTGGAACCACCATTTTTTATTTTTAAAATCTGATATCGGATTCGTAATCAGAGACCCCGAAAACCCCTGAGTAACAAGTTTCAAGTGAATTCAGTCGATTTTTAATTTTCATGTCCGCCATATTGGATCCGCCATTTTGAATTTTAAAAATCTGATATCGGATTCGTAATCAGCGACCCTAAAAAACCCCCGAGTAAAAAGTTTCAAGTTAATCCGATGAATTTTAGGAAATGTTGTCCGCCATATTGGAACCACCATTTTGAATTTTCAAAGCTGATATCGGATTCGTAATCAGCGACCCTGAAAACCCCTGAGTAACAAGTTTCAAGTGAATTCAGTCGATTTTTAATTTTCATGTCCGCCATATTGGATCCGCCATTTTGAATTTTAAAAATCTGATATCGGATTCGTAATCAGCGACTTCAAAACAATAGTATGCTCGTTTGCGCAAATTTTAGTTTTCTAAAAAGTTGTCGACATTTTGAGCCCACTTATGAGATTTTGGTCTTGACTGCGAAGGGGTTAAACGTTGCTTGTATCATCAGTTGAGGTCGATGATGGAGTTTATGAATTTGGTTTTTGTCTCATAAATCTTACTGTAAATACAAAATAAACATATTTATTACTTAGTAAACTCAATAAAGTTTCCCATAAGAAATCCCTTTAATAAAAAACAATCACTTTATGAAGTTAAAACAGGAACAATTTACCTTGGCAATCAAATGTTTTCCACGGTTGAAACTTCACTAAAACACATTAAGTCACTTACAAACTACTACTGTTCACAAAATAATTAATAGTCACAATTAATGCATTGAATAGTATTTCCAGTTACCGCAGCAATTCTACCCGAAAGCAGAGTTTTGTTTCCAATAGCCCCAGTTTAAGGTAAACAAAATAGGATATACCACGATATACCACCGATGCGGACTTTAAAGAAAATATAATTATTAATACATATGTTTACTCTCTTTATTGAAGCTAACAGGGTAAATCTGGGGAAGACGTCTATAGTTTTTTTAAAGGTTTGTAAAAATTGAAAAAAGCGATTGTTGTCTAAACTATTATTAATATAAACACTGAACACTTAGATTTAAAATAAAGAAAAATAAAATGACATTAATTTCTATTCGATTACATAGATCTCCATCTACAGTGTCAATTTGTAATGAGCCAATTCCCCAATAATCAGAGAGAGAGAGGGAGAGAGTTTGATGATTAAAAGGGGAGAGTCAAATTCAAGAAATTAGAATTTCTTTTAATTAATAGTTGAGTTTCCGACACGATAAAAGTCGGACTCACGAATAATCCGGATCGGGGAATTGATCACTCCGTAAAATCAATCTTTTTATATTTGTTAACACACTTTTCTCGTAGACCTTAGTCTACATGTTTTTTGTGCTCTCCTCTCAAATCTGAGATTATTGTGAAGTTGACCTTCATTGGACGTTTGGGATTTAACCTTTCATCAAGGATTTGGACTGTCCCATCAATTTCGACTTTACCATCAATTTGGACTTTACCATTAATTTGGACTTTACCATTTATTTGGGACTTCATGGTACCAACTGCCCGTTTTTGGTCTTCGTTGCAGCGGAGTCATCTTTGAATTTGTAAATTGATATTTATTTTTTATATGTACTTTGTGTATGTGTGTGACGTATGTGAATGAATGTCGCGTATTTTAAAAGATTAGAAGATTTAGAAAGACGTATCGCAGTTGTAGGAACAATAAAATTTTTATTGTCTTAATCTATAAATAAATTATCAGATTATTTGTTATATTAAATTCAATTTATTTATAAAATGCCCCTGCAACATTCACCAAGAAATCCCAATGCGTCACAAAATTAGATCAATTTTTTTTGTTATCAGCGATATTTTAATTTGTTTTTCTTTAATATTTCTTCAGTAGCTAAAATTAACATAAGTTAATATAGTATTCACAAAAGGTTGAAGAATAGCCCACAATAAATGGTATCTTTTTTACAAATTCTGTAATAGTACATTATGCAACAAGGGAGGTACGTCCGAGTTTTTTAATATTGTGCGAGGTCATAAACGAGGTTACCTCCCTTGTTGCATACTTTGCTTTACACAACAAAGGCGTATTATGGTTACTCTATGCTACCTGTACCGGTGCATGCTAAGTTCTCCCATATAACCCAGCTGGTCAATAAAGTAACCATTATTGGCCTAGGGAGATAATGGGTACTTTATTGACCTGTGAGCGGTCAATAATATACCCTTTATCTCCCTAGGGCTACAATGGTTACTTTATTGACTGCTGGGTTATAAGGGTGAACTTAGTACGCGCCTGTACAGGTAGATAAAGTGACCATAATACGCCTGAGTTGTATAAAATATTTTAATTGGCCATCTCCCCTGGACTTACCCTATAGAACTTTTCCAACTGCGGGTACCATGTGGGAAAATAATAAAATTATACGGATGTGACTATAAAATACAATCTGCAGTTAGTTTTATGAATTACTTTTGGTCAATTTAGAAAATAGACACATAGTGTAATTCTATAAAACTCTCCATACATTTTGTAAAAAAAAGACAATTTAATTGAGAGAACGATAAATTGTTTCCAGGACTCTGTACCTGACAGTCTAATTAGTTAATCGATAGAATGTAATTCCAGGCGTGAAGAAGTGTAAGTAATTGTGTGCGAAGCTATCTAGATTCTCATTCAGTTGTTAAGTAATGTAACCGTACATTTTCACTAGTGATCTCGAAAAGCATTTTAAATCCTCTTCAATTCAATGTTCGAATTTCAACAATTATTTTATCATAGTGGAAAAAAATTTTAATTAACTGAAAATATCAACGATGGAATATGCGTCACAAGTTCTGTTTTTAATTACAAGTATAAACACGTGTCCTTAACATCTGTTAACTACCAGAAACAACATTTTTTAAATAATGGGTTTACTAAATCAAAACCCTTCTATTTTGTATCATGTTTTCTTGTTTGGTCAAAATTTTGTCCTTACTTATTTGTTTAAGTATTGTCACGTCCTCGTGAGGAATAATTTTATTTTATTAAAATGTTTAAAATTAAGGTTTTTATATTATCAAAAGCATTTTACCTTTATTCCTAAAATCAATGTAAAAACACGTGCCTCCTTGTTACCATGTGCCTACAATCAATTGAGGGGTCAACTATTCTTATCATAATGCAATTCTCTGAATGGTCACCTGCGAATCTTCGATTCATTCTTCCACGGAATTTAACCATTTTCTTGAAATAATGGGGACGTTGCTCTAAAAATGGAATTTTTGTGGATCGGATCCCTATTTAAAAATAAATTATTTAAATCATAGAATTCTGAATGTCATTAGTTAAAATCATATTTAAAATATCGACTTTTAAAATAAGAAAAGAATGAATGGTAAAATTTCAACTTGGCAAAGAAATATTTCAACGTGAAAGTATATTTATATTTTCAATTTAATTCTCAAGAATGTCCATTATTTGGATAAGAATATTATAGAGACTAGACCTTTTTAAATTTATAGCCTCCAGAGGGTTAAAGCTTCCTTTCAGGTGGGTTAAAGAATTTATAAGAAAATTGGTATGGCCATATCAAACGATCTTCGGAAAGAAAACTTGTTCCAGAAAAGAAAGAAAAACAATTGACCTAGAGCTTATAATCTATATGAGAAAAAAAAGGACTTTGTGAAGAAAAATGTTAAAATAATCGAGAGAACATTATCTTGACCATTCTCTGATCCTCTAAATTCTATTCCCCCTAATTTTCCAATAATTGTAAATATGGAAATTTTTCACGAAACTAAAAGTTCAATAGTGAATTTTGTATTTCGAATTTCCTATTTTACGTCCAACACTAATATACAGTTTTATGGTAAGTATTGGCAGTTGCAATGCAAGAGAATATTGCGAGACTGCAGAAAGCTGCTTTCCGTTCAATCTGGTCTTTGGTATCGGAATTGGAGACGCGTCGTGTTCAAACAAATACTAATATTGATTCTGCTACCACTCTTTTTCCGCTGTACTTTTTCTTTGCCTTTTCTACTTTCTCTCGTTTCCCTCGTCTGTTGCCTTCCTTTCATCCTCTTTTCTACATCGAGGATGCTTCTAAAAACAATACTTTATACCGGCGACAGGAAAACCCTTATAACAAAACAAGATTCTAAAATCATGAGAAGAAAGCAACTGGGCAAACTTCACATAAAGAACATTCATTTTAATTTAATTAAGACAACTCATCTTTTCTCTCAATCTTCCATTAAATAAAATATTCAAACAAAAAAACCAGGTTCACTTTAATCATCTTAAAGAAAATGTCACATTATCTCAATGTGCAGCTTCATTTTTCTAATTTAAATTTACAATCCTCTTCAATTATTAATTGAAATTAATAATTTTTAGTTTTAAATAATCTTCCAATTTCAGTAATAATCGCAGTGAATAAAAAAATAATTTATCATCACTTTTTCGCTATCGAAGAATGTCCACTTCGATGTCTGGACATAGTTTCTCCATTCTGTTGTAATAAAATATTTAGAATTTTATGAAAATATGCAGAAGGTTAATTATTTCCATTTTTTTCTTAATCTAATAAATTGTTCAACTCACTCCTAATCGTGGCTGCATTATTGCTAATTCATACTGAAGACTTCGTGGTATTTCCAAAAGAAAAGCGTCATGATCTTTTGTTAATTTCTTTTTTATTATTCGTAAACAAAGTTTCTTTAAACTAAACACAGGAAGTGTTATTGCAATATTAACCCTTTGAATTCTATTTGCAACCATTGCTCGATATTCAGGAAAAAATACGTCCTGGCAATTTGCGTGCAATCTGCAATTGATATCAGAAAAATCGTTTGGATGTCTTTTTTTCATCAATGGCAAGCAATGAATAAAAAAAAATTCAGGCCTCGAACTCAGGCTGATTATTGATACTTTTTTGAACGAATCGAGATTTTGCTCTTCACCTGAGAACGTCAAGGTCACCGCTAGATGGCAGTTCGATTGACAAAATCAGACTCCTCGCCACCTGGTGGCGACCTTCGCGTTCTCAAATGGAGAGATTGAAACACCATTTTATTTCTTGGAAACTTTTTCAGGGTTGCCACAGGTCAGAGAAATCAGGAAAGTGAGGGGAAAGTCAGGGAAAGTAGAATTGGTCAGGGAAATTAGGGAAAAGTCAGGGATTTTTATTAAAATTACTGGAAAAAATTAAATTTTTAGAATTATTAAGAAAATTCTGAATTTTTGTGTCTTTTTTTAAAAAACTTTAATTTCAATTTTTTAAATTTTTATCGCAATTATTTGAAAGAATTCAATTATCTTAATAACTATTAAACTTCTTTCCAGAAATTCAATTATATTGAAAAATGTTTAAAAAATTCTCGTCAACATTTTAATTATCTTTATAAATATCAAAATTCATTGTAAAATTCAATTATTTTCATAAATAACAATATTCATCATAAAAATTCAATTATTTTCAAAATTAATAAAATTCTTCTCAGAAATTCAATTATTTTCAAAGAGTCCAAAAAAATTGTCAACATTTAAATTACTTATCTTTATAAATGAATAGCAAAATTCTTCGACAAAATTAAATTATTTTCAGGAATTTTGATAAAATTCATTGCAAAATTCAATTACTTTCATAAATAATAGTATTCGTCACAAGAATTCAATTATTTTTAAAAGTAATAAAATTCAATTATTCTCAAAATTTTAATAAAATTCAATGATTTTTCAATATTCTACTATATTAATAAAGTTTCCCAAAAGAATTCAATTATTAAACAACAATTTTGCCAATAATTAACACAAACATTCAATTATTTTTCAAGCAAATAAAAATTTCACAGGAATTGAATTATTAAAAATAGAATTTGCATACATTTTTTTGAAAAAAACTAATTGTTCAAAACTTTTTTTTATAAAATTCTTCGCAATAATTTAATTATTTTCATAAATAATAAAATTCATTGGAGAATTTTAATTATTTTTAATAAAATTTCAATCGAATTCCTTAAAAACTGTAATTATTTATTAAATATTATTAAAATTCATCGAAAGAATTCAATTCTTTAAAAACTTGTTGATAAAATTATGTATAAGAATTCAATTTTAAGAAACATTTAATTATTCAATAAATTATTTATTTTCGTATTTAAATAATTTAATTCTTGTAAAGTTTTTAAATAAAAAATAAAAATTGATTCAAAAATGACTTTTAGTTAAAATTTTAGATTATAATTAAATATTAAAAGCATTATAATGTGGATTTTTAGAAATAATTGAATTTTGAAAAGGTTATTTTTTAAAAATTGGCAAAATTTTAATTTTTTTCAAAAGTGTTCTCCAATTTAATGATTTTGAATATCTACTATTTTAATAAAATTTTCTAAAAAAAAAATACAATTATTTACAATAAATTTTAATAAAATAAATTCAATTATTATTTACAATTTTTTTAAAAATTTCTTCGCAATAATTTAATTATTTTCATAAATAATACAATTTTTACAAGGATTCAATTATTGTCTTAAATAAGATAATTCTTTTTAGGAATTGAATTATTTTCATAAATAATAAAGCTCATTGCAGAATTTTAATTATTTTTAATAAAATTTCAATCAAATTTCTTGAAAACAGTAATTATTCTTAAAATTGTTATTAAAATTCGTCGAAAGAATTCAATTATTTAAAAATTTGTTAATAGAATTATGTATGAGAATTCAATTTTAAAAAACATTTAATTATTCACTAAATTATCTATGTTTGTTTTTAAATAATTGAATTCTCATAGAATTTTCTAATAATAATTGATTTACGAATAAATTTCAGTTAAAGTTTTAGATAATAATTGAATTTTGGAGGAGTTACTAATAATTGCAATTTTTTTAGAAATAATTGAGTTTTGTTTAAGTTTTAAATAAAAATCTTTGAAAATTTGAATTTTTCATACTTTTAATTGAAAATTCTATGGAACTAATTTTTTAAAATTATTTTATGTTTTTATTTTCTAATGTATATTTAATTGAAGAATTTCCGAATAATTAAAATTTCACGTATTGTAAACAAATTTAAATTGTAAACAAATGGATTTAAAAATTCTCAAAGAAGAAGTTTTTCAAAAATTATTAAAACTTGATTTAAAGTAGAATTTTATTTTAAATTTTTAGAAATTGAATTGAATTGAAACAATGAAAATAATGTTAAAGAAGTTACAGTAACAACATTGTTATATTTATAATATAAAATAATTACTAAAATAATTTCTTCATGTTTTATAATAATATTCTTTCGAGTTATTGAATTTGAAAGTTTTGAAATATTATTTCCTATGAAAAAATAATAATGATTAAAAAAGAAATTAAGTTATTGATATTTTCGAATAATTTTACAATTAAAGAAATTCTTAAATAAATGTACCTAATAGAACATTTTTTTTTTTGAGTATTTAATCATTTTTAGAGTGAATTAGAATATTCTTTAGGGTCAGGGAGAAAGACAAAATTTTGTTTGGAAATCAGGGAAAAGTCAGGGAAAAAGAAAATTTTTTTTATTTCTAAAATTAAGTCCGAGGCCTGAAGAACTGTAACATAACGATAAATCTGAACTAGCGAAGATGAATTTTAGCAACGTACCTTTCTCCCGTTTCTTCATCATAAAATATCCAGGGATGGGTAACAAATGTATTAACATCAATCCATTGAGCGTAGGAAGAGAGATCCGAAAATCGAACTGTCTTTCCCTTAAAGTCAAGCCAATAAATGCGCACATGCCGATGTGTGGTATTCCAAAATCTGACATAAGCCGGCTGATGATTGTTGATTGAACGCAAAGGACGCTTATAGCGATCCAAACCAACTTCTGGATTCTCTTCCATCTAGAGAGATTATTTAATCCCACAAAGGCTAGCTAGCAAACAAATTAAAAATCCAAGCTCTTTTCAGATCCCCCGTATAATGAATGGAAAATCTGAAACAAAAAGAAAAAACTAATTAAATTCCTCATAAAAATAAATTAATGTCCAAATCAGAATAGAATTGCGAAATCAATAAACGCAAAATAAAACCAAGATTCAAACAAATTATTATATTATTAAAAGTATAATAAACACAAATGTGAAATAAAAATTGAAATTTCCGACTTAATAGAAAACGAGTTTATTAAAGAAAAAGTTATGAGAAGAAAATAAGCTTCTTTCAAACAGAGCGTAAAATTAAACTCTGTAAACAAAATGAAAGGACAATAAAAATGGGAAAGAAGATAGAAATCATAATAAAAGAATAAAAAGGGACTTGGATTTTTAATACCATGAGATTTACACAAACAATGTAAAATTATCAGCATTACAGAATTTCAAATATTTTTGTGGAATTGAATTAACTTTTTAAATAGTTGAATCTAAAGAATGGACCTCTCTCTCTCTCTCAGATACTGACAAGAAAAGTAAATAGCAAAATTCATTTCATCCTTCGTCATTTTAAGTTTCCATCAAAAACTCCTTTTTTTTCATAAAGAATATAACAATTCTCTGAAGATATAAGTTTCTCAGTAGTGAAATATCCTTTAATCAGCTTATAAAACAGTAAACCAAAAGGCAATGTTGAAACTCCATTACAGTTAAGAACTCGCAATAATAAAAAAAGAAACGAATATAGAGTCAAGGGAACTCGTATGTATGACACAAATGGACCTCTCTCACCCTTTTTCACTAACGGAGATCATCTCTTCTCTCTGTTTTAAAATCTTTCCCTCCTTTTCTTTCGCAGGCATATTTTCGCGCCGTGTATATAAGACAGAAAAAGTGCAAAATGAAATCGCACGAAGCGCACGGCGTTTATACAATGTTCAAGCTCAGAGGTAAAATTGGATTAAAACGAGTTACGGTAATGAAATTTACGCACCACCTACGTTCAAATAAACATTCTGAGAGTAGCGAAACGAGCGCGGATTCGACAAAAATAAATCTCGTCTTTTTAAAACTATTTTCTAAAAATTCAGTAGAAATTTTCATTCTTTCGCACTATCGCACTATGATACTCTATTGTATGTATAAATATATGATTCTATGAAGTGGAAACTAATTTTATTATGCTGTATGTGAGAGACCCGTCGCGTCGTGTGGAAATTTATAGTTGCACTTTTAAGGAACTGTAATGCAGTACTTGACTCTTTACTGTTCCTTGACAGCATTTTATAAATTGTGTCTATCTTCATTTGTAACCCTTAAATTGATAACTCTCGAGACAGTTAAACAGTAAAGATTCTTTTCAAATTTTAAGGATCACAGTAAAAAGAGAAACGGTAAATGGTTCTCTAAAAATAAGTGACCAAAAGGTGTTAAAAAAATTATAATTAAATTATGATAACTAGCAACAGGGATTTTTATCAAAAATACTGACAAAATTAATTTTTTAGACTTCATAAGAAAATTCTGAATTTCGGTATTTTTTTTGTTTGTCTCACAAACTATGAAATTTTCACGAATTCTAATAACAAACCTTCAAATTTTTCTACTTCTGATAATAATTTCTTTTCAAAAAACTCGAATAAATCGAAAATAATATTTTCGATTTGTAAAACAATAATTTTTAATAATTGTTCTCTAAAAAATTGGATTTTTTGACATTTAGACAAACGTAGAGCTTGAAGTACTACATAGTACATAATACATATATACTACATACTTGTTTAGTACTACTAAACAGTTTCATAAAATACCCTTGAATATTATTAATGATGCAAAAAGTATTTCAATCCCAATTATTATTATTATTATTATTATTATTATTATTATTATTATTATTATTATTATTTTTTTTTTTTTTTTTTTTTGCTTAGGGACTTTTGGGAAATCTGCCTACAGATACCTTGGATTCCGCACTCCAAGGTTATGTGGGGTTGGTATGATAAAACAAAAGGAAATATAAAAAAAGAAAAAAAAAATATATATTATAGTAAATTTAATAAACTGGCGACCTACTACCAGCCCGACCCACTAAAACCCGTAACCCTTCTTCTGGAGCCCTTTACCCTCCCTCGGAACTGTCGTAAGACTTTAGCCTTCGAGGGTGGCGCTCCAACCCTGTCGCTAATGCGACTTTCTGCTTTTCTCTGCGGTTATCCTGCGTTAATAGTTAAAAATTTAAAACTATTTCACTATAAAGCGGAATTAACAGCACAACAATAATCAAAAATAACAAATGTGTAATTAAGTGTAAAAAGTCAGAAGATAAAATTATAAACGGATATATAAAAAAAAGAAAAAATAAACGCGTATAAAAAATTCAAAAAACATAAAACTGTACAAAGATGAATAAAAAACACAAACAATTAAAAAATGTATAAGGACAAATAAATCACAAAATAAATTAATAAAAAACAAACGAACAAAATTAAAAGCTGTTTAAATTACGCTTTTTGGCGGCCGTCGAGATCCTTCCTCGACATAACCGAGATTATGAAGTTCTCGACTTGCCGCCAATTCTCTTCCGACTGGGTCATCAGCGATACCATGTTCTCCGGTGTAGCCTGACTGTTTACACCTTCGAACATGGCCCGCCTCTCCAAGTCCCAATTCTTGCATGAGAAGAGGGTGTGCTCCGCGTTGTCCTCAGGGAACTGGCAATATGCACACACCTCGTTCTCGCGTAATTTAAAGCGACACAGGTACGAGTTAAAACACCCGTGACCTGTGAACGCCTGAGTCAAGTAATAGGAAACCTGACCGTGTTTCCTATTCATCCAGGTGGCGAGTGCCGGGATAAGGCGATAAGTCCATCGACCTTTTTCCTCACCATCCCATCTTTCTTGCCATCTTTCTATGAGCCTGTGCCTCGCTTCTTTGCGGATCAGGCCCTTGCTTGGTCTTAATTCCTCATTCAAGGAACTGCTTTCTTTAGAAAAGAGAAACATTTCTTCCCTTTCCCTCGCCAAAAGATCTGCTGGCGGGACACTTGCAAGGACCTGCACAGCACTCGTAGATACCGTCTTATATGCAGAGATGATACGCGTTGTTATCGATCTCTGCGCAGACAGTATCTTTTCACAGATGGTCACACATCTTTTACTCCTCAGGGATGGGGCCCACGCTGGTGCTGCATAGAGCATTTTAGCGTGGGCGACACTCGCCACCAGTCTTCTTTTTTGTTCACGGGGTCCGCCAACATTTGGCATTAGCCGTGAAAGATTAGCCGCACACTCGATCGCCTTATTTGACGCCGTAGCCATGTGGTGGTGGAAGTTTAACCTTCCATCTAACTCCACACCAAGATATTTAATTTGCTTACTCCACTTGACCTCGAATCCGTCTATCACGATTCGTGGGAGCTCATAACCACGTCTGTCTGTGACCAGCAGTGCCTCGGTCTTTTCCAGGGCCATTTCAAGACCTCTGGTATCCAGCCAGCTTTTAGCTAGTCGCAGACATTCGTTCACCAATGTCCCAAGAGCCTCCTCACTTTTGGCAGTGCACACGAACAACGCGTCGTCCGCAAAGCCGATGATCACCGCACCTTCGGGCAGATCCATTCGCAGAAAATCATCGTAAGATACATTCCATACAAATGGACCCACCCTCGAGCCTTGAGGAGCCCCACGCTGCATCTCTTCCTTGAGAGTGCAGGTGTCTCCCTCATATATAACCCACCTGTCGCTAAGATAATTATCCATTATCCGCAACAAGTAGGGCGGCATGTTTTTCTTTTCCATCGACTCGATGAGATCTTTCCATCTTGCGGAATTAAACGCGTTGCGTATGTCAATTGCTACCAACGCGCAGAAGCTCTTCTTTTTCCCAGGTCCCAATTTGTTTTTTCCTGCTTTGGCTATGTCCACAACTGCCTGGATGGCATCAACCGTGGACTTGCCTTTACGGAAACCAAATTGGTGATCGGATAGACGATTCTCTTCGGTCAAGTGGCTTTGCATTCTCTGCAGAACCATATCCTCTAGAAGTTTACCCATCGTATCTAGCAGGCATATAGGCCTGTACGATAAAACCTTATCTAGAGGTTTTTCACCTTTCCTTAGGAGGACTAACCTCTGTCGCTTCCAGTCGCGGAAGAACTCTCCTCTCTCAAGGCAAAGATTGAAGCATCGAAGCAGAATCTGGGGTGAAGTGTCGATTACCAACTTTAGGATCTCGTTACTTATCCCATCGATTCCAGGCGCCTTGCCTGTTTTCAATCTTTTGCCTGCTTTTTGCAGTTCACTAAGTGTGAAGAGTTCTTTCTCTTCGACTTTGCAAAAACTCCAGTCCCTTCTAAGGTATGGCTCCGCAGGAGGAAACAAAGAACTTATTATCTTTCTGACCCAATCGGGATTGTCCAGGCCGGGGGTCTTTTGCCTCGTCACTAATTTCTTAGTCACGATTTTAAAAGCCAGACCCCATGGGTCCTTGTCGACTTCCTCGATTAGGTCCTTCCAGCTACGGCGTCGCGACTTACGGATCTCTTTCTTGAGGTTCTTTTTCGCCTCCTTGAAAGCCTCTTTCAGCAAGGGATCTCCCTTAGATCGGGTGTATGTCCTTTTTGCTTTGAGGCATTCCTTTCTCAAGGAGGCCAGCTTTTCTGACCACCAGTGCAAGGATTTTTTCCTTGAAAAGGCTCCTTTGCGACGTGGCATCGACGCATTGCAAGCGGTGAAGATTATATTTCGCACCGCTCGCACCTCTCCATTTAGACTTTTCGGCCTCTTCACCCAGCCCAAGTCCTCAATTAAAAGGGCTTCTCTTAGGGACCGGCCGAACTTTTCCTTGTCGAGTCTCTTCATATTCCACGAGGAGGTTTTGCGACTAGGAGCATCCTGTCTTTTTCCTCCTCGTGTGTCTCCCATCGAGACTGAGAACTCAATATACTGGTGGTCACTTGCGGTATATTCCTCAGAGACCCGCCAGTCGGTTATGCGGCTAAAAAGTTTAGACGATGCGATTGTTAGATCTATAATTGATCCGATCGCACCTCGTCTAAAAG